GCGTATTTGCATTAATCCCGTCAGTTTTGAAACCCGTCAGTTTTGAAAAGGAAAGTTGAAACCTTCCAGACAATGTATCTGATTTTATGTATCTGATTTTAGCCAAAAAAAAATGCTTATCGCACAATTTCATTGATGGAAAAAATGGTTGTCGTACAATTTCGTTAATGGAAACAATGCTTGTCGTGCTATTATCGTACAATTTTTTATTCTATGGAATTCTACGAAATTGTACGATAAGCATTTTTTCCATAAACGAAAATTGTACTATAAGCATTTTTGTCAACCCGGGTAGTTCTATACTTGACCAGTTTAGCTGTTTTTCAGGTGATGGTTAAACTTTAGGGGTCTTCAAAACATAACAGGGCATGGGGTTTGTAGGTGAACTTTAAGTAAAGCGTTCGTTATATTGATTGCTTTTTAATTTTTAGGTAAGTATTGACTAAGTACAGATTTGACCCTCTAAAATTTCACAAAAATTTTTATCCTTTAAGAGTTTGTAAAAAATTGGTTTCCCTTTATGTTGAACCCACTTGGTAAACATTTGACTTAACGGAAAAACAAGAGTTTTTAAGATTCTTGACGCCGTTTTGTTTCCTCCTTGATACGTTCATTTGCCAGATTTCTAGTTTTCCTTTGTTTGATTGCAAAAAAGGTTTCAATAGGTTTTATTTTGGTTTCAATTAACTGATGGTATTAAGCTTAATTTTTCTTGCAAGAATATTTTAGACTTTTACATCTGTAACTGAGTACAATAGTGGCTTTAGGAGGAAAAAGGGACTCTAATTCAGAAATTTGACCCCCTAGCCACTTCAAGGGTCCCCCTTTCGTACTAATTAACGACATCAGTTTTCGGCCAATCAACCCTGAATTCAAAAGCGCTTTCTTATTGGTGCGCATACTAATTTTGAATAAGGAGTGCAAGCCAAAAATTCTGAAATTTGGGTCAAACTGTCCAACAAAGGCCCTAAAAACTTGCAAGCGGCACCAAAAAATTGGTCCAACTGGAATCCAATTAATATCTTTTAAAAATTCATCCATTTATTATAAAGAATTCATCAAAACTACCTAATAAACTCTTGGGGACAGTCGGAAAGCTCGGGTTTTGCCCTGACACGAGTAGTCTCGTTGTTTGAAGAAAGTGACGGAAAATTTGTGCTCGGTGTCGTTTTTTTTCTTCAAAACTTTTTATTTTTTTTCGGACAAAAACAACGCTAATAATTGATTTTTTTTTGCACTTTGGTATCAATTTTTGAACAGTTATAGGGTTTTGAAATTTTAGCAAATTTGTGACAATTAACGCGCAAGATATTTCGTGTTTGTAACGCGTAAGCAGGTTTTTGATCCGTTCGTTTTAAATTAAATTTGAATTGCAGTAAGATATTTGGTAATTAAAATTATTATTAGAGGCTAAAAAGATCACTTTGAAAGACACATAGCGTGTCTTTCATCTTTTTTGAAATTTTTTTAATCATTGTTTTCAAACACGGTTCCAAAGACATGAAAGAGCATTCGAATTTTTTACGGCTACGCTTCGAAAAAAAAAGAATTATATATCGCCTTGAGAAGATATTTTCAAAATTTAAATCACATTAAAAAATCAATATTTGCTCACTCGTGGAGTTGATCCCTGAATCTATGTGGATCTTGTCGGATGAGCACATCATTGCTCAACCGTGATCACAGTCTGAATTACCTGCTCGTTTCTTAAAGTTTAACCCGAATGATTTAACGTGACGAGTTAACTACAAAACAATTTCAAATTGAATTGAAGCAAGCTAATATGTCTTAACAATTTCATGCAAGATTCAAACTTAAACGTTCAAGGTTAGACATAATCAATCTAAAACTCAATGCTTGTCAAATTTAATTAAGCCCGCTAAAGGGTAGACGGAACATTCAGAGTTTTGTCCGTATACGAACAAATTTGTTCAATTTGTGAAAGCTTTTTTCCATGAGTTTGATTATGAACAAGACCAATTGTAAAAGGGAGAATCCCTCCTGGGAGTTCCAACTGCCGTTTAAAGTTAATGAAAGAGTCTTGTCAGATCTTGACAAAAATATTAGTAAATGAATTCAAATATGTTTATTTTTTTTTCATTTTTGATGTTCAATTTATCCCCTGCACAAATTCAAATAAAATAACATATTTTGAGTCTGGTAACGCATAGAACAGGAAACAATTGCTCGTTTTAATTCAATTTGGAAAAATTTATTTCAACGATTTGGCTCAAAAAATACAAAGTTTATGGCAAACCTTGAGAAAAAACCAACCCAAGCAAAAAAAGTTGGTCAATTTCTTTGGAAATTGTGGTCTCTTTACCTGTTCCGCCCCTTATTTTCTAATTTTGCAATTTTGTTACTTCAAATGTTTAAATGCAGAGAACAAAACACTGACCGCACTGATTGGTTTGGTTATAACAAATAGGGTTCATTTTTTTATTAGCCTAGTACTGAGCAGATATACAGCTGATCATTTTTTTTCTGGAGCTTTTTTTTGTTTGTTTTCTGGTCTGGATAAAGTTCTGGAAAAAAAATCATTCAAAAAATTGAATAACTTGCCATTCAATCCATTTTAATCCGCCCCCTCAAAATTACCCCCTCGCAAACAATTACTCCCAAAAACTCTTCCCCACCAGAAACTTCTCACCCATCAAAACCTCTCCACCACTAAGCACTCCTCATCCACCCTCCCCAACCCAGGGAAAGAAGGAAGGACCTAATTTAGAGAAGGATTATAACAAAAAGAAATTGAAATAGATTAAAATATCGATGATTTTTGACCGACTATTATCGATTATTTTTGATTGTTACAGAGACTGACAATGAAAATCCGGTACAACCGAAACCATGGTGCGGGTTATTTTACACAATGAAAGTATATGAACTGTGTAAAACGGAAAATTTTTGTCATTTGTGATTCGATAGGTAGCAAGTATGTTAATCAGATTTTTCGAATAATTTTTCGCGTATTTGCTTACAATTATTAAAATCAGTATTTTTTTTGGCCCTAATGTGCTTCCTGCAAATCGCAGAGGCGCTATCAGTAGGCCTTAACAGTCCTGACTAGGATAGTCCATTTGTATTATCTCCCCACATCCGTGTTATTTTTTTGAGCGAAGCGCTTTTTTTTGCGACTCTAGGCCTTTTTTGTGCGTCTATAACTTCCACAAAACTGGTCAGGTTGTAGTAGACCTGAAACTAGAGGTCAAGTGAGAGCTCGTCTTCACAAACTATTGTTGCCATGGCATCGGATCGAATACACGATCTGACCATTTAAATGTGAACGCTATTTTAAGTGCTGCCCACGGGTATTTTAGGTTGTAGCCAGGCTTCAATTAAACACTGAATTATTCGATTATATTTGTGAGAATAATAACGTGTTCACTGAGGTAATTTATAACTTATTATAACTTATATTGTAAGTTATAACTTGGTTGTACGGAATGCTAACAATTGTTTCTTCCGACTATTAAGAACCGGCAGAAACTTTGCATTCGGGTATCGTGTCTTTTTTTTTATTTTCAAAGCAAAATCACCAAACTCAAATAATTATTGGAATTGATCAAACTTTATATCAAATTAAAACTCTTTTAGTCGTGATGCAAACGACACTGACAGTTTTCTAAAAAAGTTGTTTCAGTTGTGAGAAAAAAGGTTTAAAATGTTTATATAATTCTAGCATAAAATTTTTCAACTCAAATTTTAATATTTGCCATCTTTTAGTACAAATTAAAAGTATGGTGCTAAAATTATAGTGTTAGTAGGCTCAAGCTCCGGATCTAAACCGGATTGTAAATTAATGAATTAGGACTGAACTTTTGAATCAGTGCTGAAATTTATCTGAGCTTGCTCTACAGTGCTGATTTAAATTATCCGGACTCTTTTGCTGACAAAAAGCTTATCATAAAATTCCATACTATGGAAAAAACTATCATACAATTCCATAAAATTCCATGAAATAACAAGGATGGCCGGTTACTGCAAATAATTGTCGTTTCTTCTGCGTGGAGCCATAAAAAGATAGGAACGAAAAACTAGAAGTTCGGCAAATTCGACATTTATAGTAAAAGTCAAAATGGACAGCATTTTTTGTAAAAAGAGATTAGATAAACAAAAAATTCGCAATTATTTCAAATTTGTTAGCATTTATGTTTGAATTTTGAAGTTTTGGTTCATAAAATGGCGGTTCACATGGTTCACATAAAACCCTCCAAAATTCAAAAAAGGTTTAAATGAGTAAGACTAAGTTTCATGGCCTAAAGAAGCATAAATTAGCTATTTTAAGCCAAACGCTACAAAAACAAACACGTTACGTTACTTGCTCAAATTTAGACCAAAAATCTGTTTTTTTTTCTCGATACTGGTAAACTCTTTTCAAAATTTTAAACCTCATTCGGTTCTGGACTGAAAGGATTTCATTGTGATAGATGACTCAACCCATTTCGATGATTATTCGTGGTACCTGATTTCGCGTGGAAAAAACCTATAACTTACCCGTACACAAAATTCCTACCAATTTTCAAGAGTCAGAACAAAACCATTGTATGAAAAATCACATAATACGCATTTTCCCATACAAGGGAACTGTTAGATGAGCGTCTTATCCATGTAACTTTCTTGTGTTTTGCTTCTTGTGTTTCGCCCAATTTTGTTTTTTTAGGCTGCTTCTTTTCATTTTTTTCAAAATTCTTTTTCTGTTCTTTGAATTGACCTGCATGTCCAAAAAACCATAATCATGTCGCAAACAAACGTTGGAAAAACATGTAAGTATGATTGCAAGTGAGTTCCAGATTTGCGATTTTCACAATGTTATAGGGTTGTCCTTTAATATGCTTTGCAGCTGTACTCTATATTTTAAAGCAAACGCAATTATTTAGTACAAATTTTCCAAAAATGTTAAAAACTGATTGTTCGGCACTTTTTCAGTTCGGAGAAGCAAACGGTTGATTCATTGCGGTAGGAGAGCAAGAATAAATTAGTCGACTTAATATAACACGAAAGGTTACTAACTTGAATTATCATTAATGTTAAGAGAGAAGAAAAAAATTTAACTTCGCACCAATTTTTTTTTTTCATTTAAAAACTATGATTGTAAATTGACGAGATCTGTAACTTCTTTGCTGTAATAACTTTTGTTATTTGTTTTAAATTCTACTGTTCGGGGGAAAGTTTCTCAAATGATCTTGTTTCTTTTTTCTAGTGGTTGAGTGAGAGATGTTTTGTAATTCACCCGTTTTACTCTTGATGTGTTTGAACAACACCTGTGTAGAAAGGATTCGTCATCAGTTGCTGTGAAAAGGTAATAACAGAGATCCAAATTAGCCGCCATTTTTTTTTGTTAACTTCAGTTCAATTGTTTGTGTTTATTTATGAAAGGGCACAGTCAGTACAGGAATGCCCGAGTTCCTCAGCACGTGATCACTCACACTCCCAATGAGGGCTTTTTTGAACTTGGACAACCCCCTGCTGCCCATGATGATGAGCTGCACGTGGTACTTCTTGGCCGTGGCGCAGATGGCCTTGCCTGGTTCGGGGGGATCGCAGGTGAACTCGAACTTAAGCTGGCTGACATCTATGCCGTACTTTTTGGCCTTCGTGGTAAAAATACGCTTCAGCCCGTCCATGTAGTATTCTAAACAGTTTCTGTATAGATTGTAATTTGCATAAACAAGAATCAAAATTTGATTTGACATCTTATTAAAATTGATGTGGATATTAGGGCGCTATGTTTGGTTTTGTTAATGATGCAAATAAATGCCGCTTTCTATCAAGTTTCTGCTGATCAAAATTTTTTGAGAAGCTCGAGAATTAAACTGTAGACTAAATGGCTCGCAGCAAAAAGTGCAAGTTTTCGATTAACGTTTTCAAACGGTATTTTGTTCAAGTTTTCGATTAAACTATTTTTTTTTCTGACAATTAGATCAATTTAACAGCCCCCCTCCCCCAATAGACCACGTTAAAATCTTCCAACCCATGTTAGAATAGCAAAATAATTTTGTGAAAGTCACTGAGAACACAGAAAGATAAAAATACAATTCTGTAAAATAATGAAGACTTCTTCCTTAGACGCCAAAATCAGAAGGTCCTCGAATGTGCATGCCTACACCACTACATCAATAGTCAGCTCTATTATCAACCCCCCCTTAAATTTCATCTTTCAAACATAACACTGCTAGAGTCCTCGTCGCTTATACAAGATCCTGTGTAAAATAGGCATAAATAATTCAAAAGACTGTTTTCAGTGCAATAATAGCAAATTGTAATAGCAATTTCAAAACATTTGAATGTTTTGAAAATATTGCTGCAAATGTTGGATGTTGTAGTGGATGGTTGTCTTGGGCTCTGAAACCAATTAGACGACTCAACTCAACATCAATTTTTTTGGGATCTTTTTCCTTTTCTCCCGCGCCCCAACTGACCATTGTATAATTTTTTGGTTTTACAAAAAAAAGTTTTGGGACAAAATGTGTTTGAAATAAGCTGATTAGTCAATCTGTCAATTTTCATAACAATTGGACAATTAAGCTCGACAAGTAAAATTCTGCATGTCGAGCAGGCGGGGAGAAATGACAAAATACCTGTGTGAGTTACCTTTGATGTCGTATAGTTCTCTGAGGGACTCCTTGAGGTCCTTGCTTATGGACACTGGGTCCATGAAGTGGAACAAGACCAGTCTGTCGTTTTTCCACTGGATGTGTTTGCAGTAGTACTCGAAGGCGTAGTCTGCATTCTGACTCCCGTCTATCGCCACAAACACCACTCGCGACTCTGATGACGTCATTCAGACACACTGCGAGCAGACGAGTCAGATGATTGGAGAACGTTCTGGAACAATCTAGAACAAAATGAACAACTCAATTGAAAAAATCTTCACGCAGCAATGAATAAAAACACAAGAAACTCCTTAATTTTACACGTTCTTAAGTAAAATGAAGAATTGTGGTGTTCGCCAACCGGAAGTTTTCTCGACCGTGTTTCTCAAATGATTTTTAATTTCTTAATGAAAGTCAACTTACACAGAATTTGATTTGATGCATCCAAATTTGAAATATAATGTTTATAAAAAAAATTTGAAGTATCTCTAAAAAATGGTTAATGTAGAAATGATAATGATGCAAATTAGAATAGTACAAGTTTGCTTTGTTATCTGTTTCTTGCTCAATTTGTCCAAAAAGCAAAAACTTACCGCATTATTCTGATTGATGAGGTAATTTTTGAAAATACTACTTGAATATTGAAATCACAAAATTTGGGCATGAATACAATACTATAATAAACCCATTTCAATTTTTACAATTCATCTTCCGATTTGAAAACAAATCACAAAATTTTATCGATGAAGTTTTCCGGCATTGGTAACAACTAGCATGCCAGTTCTGGATGATCGGATAAAATTTACTGCCAGACTATTGAGATCTAAACTACTCAAATCATCAGCTGACTGAATTTCATCGATAAAAAAGCGTGGTTTGACGAAGCGACATAAAACTTTTTTTTGCAAAACTTTTCTTCTAGCGATCTAAGAACATTATGAGAATATGGAACTTGGTATCAAGGTATTGATACTAATGATTCATAATTTTACCTTGAAGAAACAACTGTAGAAGCCTATGGAAAGAAAACATGAAGAATTAAATTCTAAAATTGAAATCCTCAATTTTCTCTATGATTTTCAAAAGTTTTATAAAAAAATTTATTTACCTGTTATTTCAAAATTTTAGCGATGCACAACTAAGTATATTTCTTGTTTTTCTACGATTTTCTGCAAAGCTACAGGTCAGGTAGTTGCAGAACTTTCAGGAGAAATCTAGCGCAAAATTGTTCCCAAATAGGAAAAGACAAATCATTGAAAAAATTAAAAATTCAAAAGCTAACTCCTTATTGAGTAAATTATAGAAATGTGGTGATTTGGTAAACAAAAATCATGAAAAGAAAAAAAAAGTTTTTTTTTCTCAGTTTTTCAAAACGATTTACGTAGAAACTTACGTAGAAATTGATTTAATGACAGTCAAGTTACGTAGAAACTGCTTTAATGACAGGTGCTTTGATGAACTTGAATTTGTAAGACAAGGAACGTTTTTAATGGAGCTTAAGTATATTCAAATGATGAAAAAATTAACAAGGAGTTGAGCATAGCAATTTTTTTCATGCTTTTTTTACTTGCTTGTCACTCAATTTGTCTGGCTAGCCGAAAATTGGGGCTTTTTTTTCCAACAATGAAGCAGTTTTTTCAAACATATTATCGTTGGAATAACAAAATTTTGGGCTTGAATTTGATACTTTTCTAACTTGTTTCAAATTTAAATTCAATTTTCAAAACAAAATACAGAAATTGTCGGAAAAATTTTAATGAATTGGATACTAGCATGTCAATTCTAGAAAACTAGATGCAACTTTTCACCAGTCTATATGAAGCTAGCCTACTCAAACAATCAGCTGACTGAACATCATTGAAAAAAACCTCGTCTTCAGGCGGCGACTTAACCCTAAGTTTGTATAGAAAGCTTGTTCATCATAAGATCTTTTCCAAAAAGTATCGTTAAACAGGAACAAAAAGTAACAAAAAGGGCTCTAAAAACAATAAACAATATTAATAAGAACGAAGTTAAAAATCAAAATCCTTGCCTTGAACTTCAAACTCTAGCACTCTATGGAATAAATTTAAATTTCTACTTTCAATAAATGTGTCTTTTCTTTTCCTCATTATAATGTTTATATAGACTGAGGAACTCTCATGAATGAGGAACACAATGTGAACAGATGGATCCGGTGACTAGAAAACGTTTTAAAAACAAAACTAGAACAAAAAGAAACTAAGTTTGAAAAAATCTCTTGGTTCTAATTTTTTTTTTTAAGATAAAATAAAAAATTGCAGTCAATTAAATATCACCTGTCAAGAAAACAAAAAAAAATCTGTGCCATTTTTTCTATTTTTTCTCGACATTGCTATTAGAAGCGTTTCAATTTCCTAATGCAATTCAATTTACTGAAACAAGTTCCCTTATACCAAAATTTTTGATGCACCTGAAACTGTATGTAAGTAAAAAAACATTTGAAGCATAATTAGAACCTATTCGATGTGAAAAAGAACAAGCATTGCTGCATAGAAAATTAGAATCTTCGCTAGATTATCTAAAATTTGCTCAATTTGTCTAAATAGCCAAATTGTAATGCAATTTATTCTTAATTGAAGCAGTTTTTGAAATTATTGAAAACAGAAACAAAAACGGTTGGGCTTGAATATGTTACTTTTGTTGACGAGAACCGTTTCCTACATTTATCTTCCGGTTTTAAAAATAAAACAAAAAAACCGATTCAATTTTTTCTGCATTGAAAATTAGCATGTTAATTCTGAAATTTTGGTCATAACTAACTACCTGCTAAATAAAACTATCAGCAGACCTGACATGTCAAAAAAACTCACTTTCGCGCCACGACTTAGTACAGTGCTGATTTAAATTATCTGGGCAAAACAAACAAAACTTGAATTTTCAAACGCGTTTTTCTCAAATTGAGTTAAGGTTAGACAAAAAATGAAGAAAAATAAAGTTGCTTAGAATTTCATCAGAGTTAATATGGTGCATTTTTTTCTCAACTAAAATTTTACCCCAAAAATGGGTAATTTTAGCTTTTTCCAATTAATCAAAAATTACGCTACAACTACTCGGTTAAATGATGAAAAATGTATATCACAAGAAGCCTCATACACAGCACAACAAAATTCTAGAAGGGTTTAGTCTCCAAAAAATTTGAGTAAATTGTTTAAAATTTGTTTTGAGCGCAGATTTTGGGTTTTATATAGTACAAATCACATTTCTTGACTATCAAGCAAAAATATTTTCTCTTATACAGGTTTTTAGAGATTTAACCCTTCTGAAACTTTGTTGGGCTGTGTAAGAGGCTTAATGTGATAGATATTTTTCATCAATTAACCAAGTAGTTTCAGCGTAATTATTGAGTATTTTTCATTTTTTCCGGATAATTTCAATCAGCACTGTGCTACATTTTAGAACAAAATTTTATTCAAGAGATCTGTTCTCATATGAAATTTTTTTTTTGAATAATCTGTACCTGAAAGGCAAAATTGTGGCAGCCTATGGAAAGATAACTTGGAATAATTATAAATGTTTTCGACCTCCTTCATAGGCTCTATTTTTATAAATTAATTTGGTTTTTAGAACACTAATTTAATGGCTTTTTTCAACTTATCAATGATGTTCAATTATTTAAAATTTTTATACGTATCTACATAGGATCAAAAAACCAAACCAATGATACCAAACAACCAATCCATGCTATCAGTCATTTTGTGATGTAGACGGAAAAATTGGATTTTTTGAAAATTATTTTTTCTTCAATTTTTTCAATGCCAAAAAAACTACAATTTGGCTTAGGCTTTTTAAATATGAATAAAAAAAAATTCCTGTTGGTAAAAAACTTTCCCTCGGATACTGTCGGCAAAAATATTTGAAACTAGTTTTTCACACAATTTTTTTTTTGATTTTTTTTTGGAATTCAAATTTTGAGTAATAGGGTATACTTTTACTGCTCCATGGCATCTGACGTATTTTTTATCGGCAGCCCGGGTTTGAAAAAAACATACTCTAGGGGTAAATTTTTCTCACCGCTGACTGTGGTAGAAAAAATGAAAAAATGAGTAGTTGGTTGCTGTGCATTTAGCACATTATGTTTCATTTTTATGGTTACATAAAAATAATACACCCTAAAGGTTTTTTTTGAGGCACTGAAACTTTCAAAAGCATACAATTTCCCGTTCCGAGAATTGTCAGATTAATGAGTGAATGAAATATTTAATCTTCCTGCTATTGGGAAAACTGCAGAAGGATGATATTTTGGGCCAAAAAGGTTTGATATTTCGGGCCAAAATTGATGTTATTATTCCGGCAGAAATAGTTATGATATTTCGGGCAAAAACGATGCAATAGTTCGAGCAGAAAATTATGCGATTTTTTGGGCCGAAACGATGTGGTAATTCAGGTCAAAATGATGTGATATTTTGGGTCAAAACTGAAGTGAAAAATTTTAAGCAATTTTTAAATGTTACAATTACTACAATTTGTTATCAAGATTCAAGAATTCAAAAGTTTTTAAAAAGTATTAGAACTGCAGTTCAGATTGCAAAAAAAATTAGGAGATTCTCGCAAAATGCTGATGTAAAAAGCTCAAAAATTTTAAGCAACCTTGAAGAATTTTTAAAGATTTTGCAACCATTTAACCCAGCATAACTTTTTCTGATCACGCAGCACATGCTTTTCTCGTACATATATTTTATTGCGGCATCTTTTTTCCGGTATTTAAAGAAAACAAGATGAACTGCGAAAAAAAACGTCGAATTTTTTATACAAGTAAATGTTATCAGAGGGTATATTTTTTACAAGGCATATATTTTCAATTACAAGAAAAAATATTTACAGAGAGATTTTAACTTCATTTACAAGATTTTTATTGGAACTTGACTCAATTTGATTTTACTTCGTTTAAGAATTCTGAACAAAAACTGATTTTGTTGTCTGTGTGATATTTATGACTTTTCATCACGAATTCGTCCTTAACGTCTTTTACGTCCGTTTTGTTCTCGTCGGAGGGCTCGACTGTGCCAATCCGGCAGAATGGCACAGACTTCAAGTTCCACTCACCTGCGTGACCGCAGTGACTTTCTTCACACAGCCAGTCACCAAAAAAGCAGGATCGACTAGACCGCTTCGGAAAGCGGATACTCGAAGATTACCCTCAAACATTGATCAAAATTACCAAGAGAATCCAAAAAAAGGACCCGACAGAGAAAAATGTCAGCGTGCGGATCTTGAACGTATCAAACCGCGAGGCATCGGGCGTTGGATAAAATTATCGATTTTTTTTATCGGCCATGTTGCCATACAGCAATCATGCGTAAATGAATCCACGTATGAAAGCCTTACTAAGCCCGCGAGGAATATTTGAACAAACAAAAAACTTCATTAATATCAAATCACGCCCCTCCTGGTTCTCCAAGCTAAATGTACTCCCCGAGGATTCTCAAGACATAAAATTTCATTCATACCAAATGCTAAATTGCTAAATTTGATTAATTAAAGAAACTTGTGAAGAGTAAGTTCGACTTCCCGTTTGAAAAGAAAACCAAAAGAGGACAATTTGGTTTAATTAAATTAGATTCGAAGAGAAAATATTCACTTTAGTTTTAATGAATTGGTTTAAAAAAAAACGAAAAACGAGTTATTTAGTCCTAAATATGAACTTTCAGTTGACTATTGAAATGTTCGTAAGTTGCAAAATTTGAGAAATTTTTCATATGAGGTCGGCAAATTGAATATGAAAACATTGTTTTGTTCGCTCCTTGGTACTCGGTAGTCCTTTATGGGCCCCATTTCGATTTTTCTTTCAAGGATGCTGATTGAGCCCAATGGTCTCGGAAAAAGAACTGAATTTGCTCAGAGTGTACTCAAAACTAATAAAAGAGGCTGATTGAGCCCATTTCTAGGGAACTATGAGCTGAATGAGCCCAATTATTTGAAAAACGAGGTGAATGTGACCAAATTTTAGCTAGCTAAAGAAGATGAATGAGCCCAGTTTATTGCAAATTGGAACAAACTAATTTCCTAATTGTGGGTTTAAATAAACAGTAACTCTAACGATTAGTGGAAATAACTAACAATTGGTAAAATAGAGGTAGCACAAAGCACAAAGAGCCTGAAAACTAAGTGAAACGGTTTGCCCCCCCCCCCCCCCCCGCCCCGGTTTGCCATGAAAAGGGATGAATGAGGGATAAAAAAATTTGGGCTCCTAATTGAGCGCAATTGGGTTCCATTTTCAGCAAAATGGAACTAGTACTAAACTAGTACTAAACTAGTCCGAGAACTAGTACTCGGAACTAGTACTAAATTTGGCTCATTCAATTGCTTTCTGCTTTCCATGGAAATAGTTATGCAAGCTTTGACCCGTATCCAAATCAAGAACCAATCATGACTGTTTATCAATTTATCCGAACAAGACTTCTCGTATCAGGGCGAAGCCCTGAAAATTCCGACTGCCTTTTAAGGTCTATGGAGCAGTAATAGCATGAAAAAGTTGAATGTAATAAAACTAAAATAAAATTTAAAAAAAATGAGATTTTTTTTGTGAAAATCATACCCCCACACGCCATAAAAAAACAGAGAGATAAATTTCGCTCCCATTAACAAATCAACTTTGGCAAATTAGTTTCCTTCAACCAATTTGGAACGATTTCTATGACGGACTAAATCTCCGCTTACGCGTTAATAGCGTGAAATATATCGCTCGTTGATTGTCCCAAATTGACAATTTTTAAACCCGCATGACTTTACGAAAAATGATCACAGGTGAAATATTTTTTCAAATTTGAGCTCAGGACAACAATAGGTTTTGAATCATATTTAAAAAATTCCGTCAAAAATGGCTAGTTAAAAAGTCGAAATTTGTCTGAAGAAAAAAACCCACCCGATCACATTCGTCGGAACAAAAAACAGACCGTCATATGCTGCCGTCAAAAACAGAAAAAAAAAGAGAATTCAGGAATGCGATTTTTAGCCCTGGAGAGGCTAATTCTATCATAAAACGATGATAAAGGCCCACTCACGTTGTTGATACAGAATAGCTTTGTGTATACATCGAAAAGAAAAAAGGGAAAAAAAGTTTCCAAAATTACCTGAAGGGGTTTGTGGCCAAATAATTGTGACTATAAAATTGCTCAAAGGAAGTTTTTTTTGTGATTCTTGTACAAAAAAGTTGCTAATTTTTGCTTTTCTAGTTCGTTTTTGTGTTGTAAGGGATTGTTTTTAAGCCACAATGACGGAATATTAATTAAAAGCAAAGGGCATTTTTTGGCCGAAAGAATTCAAACTTGGAAACAGCTACAAAACTATGTAGCTACAAGCAAGAATCAGAACCACACTGGGTAAAAGAAAGCAACCTTATAAGCCCTCAGGACTTAGTGGCAGCAATTTACAAAGACAACATTTAGCACATATACTCCGTTTTTACAAATATGCGGTGGTATGTTGTATTGAGCTTTGACGGTCGTTTTAATATGGAAGAGTTGGTTACCCCGAAGGAAAATCACTGAAGAAATTTTAGTGGATAATAGGCGCTGAAGAACACGTGAAATAAGTAAAATTTCATGCTTATTTTCCAATGACACACTTTAAGGGAAATTGCGACCACATTTGAGCTTTGGTCGAAAAATAAGTTTTCCATAAATGTTTCGGCAATAAATTATATATCCTAGAAAGGGATTATTCTGACACTTGGAATATGTCAACTTATGCATTAAATTAAAGACAAGCTCGAATTCATGCTTTTGCGAGACAGGGTATGTATTTATGTCGACTTTCAAGCTGCGCTCTTTCATTTCAGGGTTGTCCAATCTTAATACTAAAATCCAAAGTTATGGGCTCGCAATAAAAATGTAAGATTGGCTATTCAGCAGGAAATGTACCTACAAAAGCATACAGGCTGTTCAGCTAATTTCAGTTAAAAGAACTTTAAGCAGCTTTATCATAATTTCAGGCTTTAAAATATTAATTCAACATCTTTAAAAGAAACGCACTACATGTGCTTTACAGCATCTTTGCTGCCTTTTTGAAAACAAAAAACCACAGATCTTTGCATAAACATTGATGATTTGTACACTAGCCGAAAAAAATCTTGTACAGTCACATAGCAGAACTATTAAGAAATTTTAACTTCATTTACAAGATTTTTATTGGAACTTGACTCAATTTGATTTTACTTCGTTTAAGAATTCTGAACAAAAACTGATTTTGTTGTCTGTGTGATATTTATGACTTTTCATCACGAATTCGTCCTTAACGTCTTTTACGTCCGTTTTGTTCTCGTCGGAGGGCTCGACTGTGCCAATCCGGCAGAATGGCACAGACTTCAAGTTCCACTCACCTGCGTGACCGCAGTGACTTTCTTCACACAGCCAGTCACCAAAAAAGCAGGATCGACTAGACCGCTTCGGAAAGCGGATACTCGAAGATTACCCTCAAACATTGATCAAAATTACCAAGAGAATCCAAAAAAAGGACCCGACAGAGAAAAATGTCAGCGTGCGGATCTTGAACGTATCAAACCGCGAGGCATCGGGCGTTGGATAAAATTATCGATTTTTTTTATCGGCCATGTTGCCATACAGCAATCATGCGTAAATGAATCCACGTATGAAAGCCTTACTAAGCCCGCGAGGAATATTTGAACAAACAAAAAACTTCATTAATATCAAATCACGCCCCTCCTGGTTCTCCAAGCTAAATGTACTCCCCGAGGATTCTCAAGACATAAAATTTCATTCATACCAAATGCTAAATTGCTAAATTTGATTAATTAAAGAAACTTGTGAAGAGTAAGTTCGACTTCCCGTTTGAAAAGAAAACCAAAAGAGGACAATTTGGTTTAATTAAATTAGATTCGAAGAGAAAATATTCACTTTAGTTTTAATGAATTGGTTTAAAAAAAACGAAAAACGAGTTATTTAGTCCTAAATATGAACTTTCAGTTGACTATTGAAATGTTCGTAAGTTGCAAAATTTGAGAAATTTTTCATATGAGGTCGGCAAATTGAATATGAAAACATTGTTTTGTTCGCTCCTTGGTACTCGGTAGTCCTTTATGGGCCCCATTTCGATTTTTCTTTCAAGGATGCTGATTGAGCCCAATGGTCTCGGAAAAAGAACTGAATTTGCTCAGAGTGTACTCAAAACTAATAAAAGAGGCTGATTGAGCCCATTTCTAGGGAACTATGAGCTGAATGAGCCCAATTATTTGAAAAACGAGGTGAATGTGACCAAATTTTAGCTAGCTAAAGAAGATGAATGAGCCCAGTTTATTGCAAATTGGAACAAACTAATTTCCTAATTGTGGGTTTAAATAAACAGTAACTCTAACGATTAGTGGAAATAACTAACAATTGGTAAAATAGAGGTAGCACAAAGCACAAAGAGCCTGAAAACTAAGTGAAACGGTTTGCCCCCCCCCCCCCCCCCCCGCCCCGGTTTGCCATGAAAAGGGATGAATGAGGGATAAAAAAATTTGGGCTCCTAATTGAGCGCAATTGGGTTCCATTTTCAGCAAAATGGAACTAGTACTAAACTAGTACTAAACTAGTCCGAGAACTAGTACTCGGAACTAGTACTAAATTTGGCTCATTCAATTGCTTTCTGCTTTCCATGGAAATAGTTATGCAAGCTTTGACCCGTATCCAAATCAAGAACCAATCATGACTGTTTATCAATTTATCCGAACAAGACTTCTCGTATCAGGGCGAAGCCCTGAAAATTCCGACTGCCTTTTAAGGTCTATGGAGCAGTAATAGCATGAAAAAGTTGAATGTAATAAAACTAAAATGAAATTTAAAAAAAATGAGATTTTTTTTGTGAAAATCATACCCCCACACGCCATAAAAAAACAGAGAGATAAATTTCGCTCCCATTAACAAATCAACTTTGGCAAATTAGTTTCCTTCAACCAATTTGGAACGATTTCTATGACGGACTAAATCTCCGCTTACGCGTTAATAGCGTGAAATATATCGCTCGTTGATTGTCCCAAATTGACAATTTTTAAACCCGCATGACTTTACGAAAAATGATCACAGGTGAAATATTTTTTCAAATTTGAGCTCAGGACAACAATAGGTTTTGAATCATATTTAAAAAATTCCGTCAAAAATGGCTAGTTAAAAAGTCGAAATTTGTCTGAAGAAAAAAACCCACCCGATCACATTCGTCGGAACAAAAAACAGACCGTCATATGCTGCCGTCAAAAACAGAAAAAAAAAGAGAATTCAGGAATGCGATTTTTAGCCCTGGAGAGGCTAATTCTATCATAAAACGATGATAAAGGCCCACTCACGTTGTTGATACAGAATAGCTTTGTGTATACATCGAAAAGAAAAAAGGGAAAAAAAGTTTCCAAAATTACCTGAAGGGGTTTGTGGCCAAATAATTGTGACTATAAAATTGCTCAAAGGAAGTTTTTTTTGTGATTCTTGTACAAAAAAGTTGCTAATTTTTGCTTTTCTAGTTCGTTTTTGTGTTGTAAGGGATTGTTTTTAAGCCACAATGACGGAATATTAATTAAAAGCAAAGGGCATTTTTTGGCCGAAAGAATTCAAACTTGGAAACAGCTACAAAACTATGTAGCTACAAGCAAGAATCAGAACCACACTGGGTAAAAGAAAGCAACCTTATAAGCCCTCAGGACTTAGTGGCAGCAATTTACAAAGACAACATTTAGCACATATACTCCGTTTTTACAAATATGCGGTGGTATGTTGTATTGAGCTTTGACGGTCGTTTTAATATGGAAGAGTTGGTTACCCCGAAGGAAAATCACTGAAGAAATTTTAGTGGATAATAGGCGCTGAAGAACACGTGAAATAAGTAAAATTTCATGCTTATTTTCCAATGACACACTTTAAGGGAAATTGCGACCACATTTGAGCTTTGGTCGAAAAATAAGTTTTCCATAAATGTTTCGGCAATAAATTATATATCCTAGAAAGGGATTATTCTGACACTTGGAATATGTCAACTTATGCATTAAATTAAAGACAAGCTCGAATTCATGCTTTTGCGAGACAGGGTATGTATTTATGTCGACTTTCAAGCTGCGCTCTTTCATTTCAGGGTTGTCCAATCTTAATACTAAAATCCAAAGTTATGGGCTCGCAATAAAAATGTAAGATTGGCTATTCAGCAGGAAATGTACCTACAAAAGCATACAGGCTGTTCAGCTAATTTCAGTTAAAAGAACTTTAAGCAGCTTTATCATAATTTCAGGCTTTAAAATATTAATTCAACATCTTTAAAAGAAACGCACTACATGTGCTTTACAGCATCTTTGCTGCCTTTTTGAAAACAAAAAACCACAGATCTTTGCATAAACATTGATGATTTGTACACTAGCCGAAAAAAATCTTGTACAGTCACATAGCAGAACTATTAAGAAAGCAGTTTTTGAGCACCAGTTTTTGATTGCGTGTTACGCGAATTAACCAAAACACTCTTCAGAATTTTGATGATTTCATGCGGACTGTATCGATTCACGGTTTAATTTCAGTTCACCAACAGACATTTTTCCCCAGAAAAATAAGAAGCACAGCTTTGCTCGAAATCAACATGAAAAAAGTTTGCCCCGAACAGTCAAAAAATTTTTTTTACCTGCATCTATTTAAAATAATTCATTTTCTAGGCACTTTTGTTCCGACTTTCGATACGAAAGTAACGGAATATTTGTGCTCGGGGTGGGTTTTTTTTCTTCAGACAAATTTCGACTTCTTAACTAGCAATTTTTGACCGAATTGTTTTATATTATTCAAAAGTTATTGTTGTACTGAGCTTAAATTTGAAAGATATTTCACCTGTGATCATTTTTTGTAAACTTATGGGGGTTTAAAGATTGCCATTTTGGCCAATTTGAGACAATTAACGCGCGATCTAATTCGCGCTATTAATGCGTTAGCGGAGACTTAATCCGTCTTAAAAATCGTTCCAAATTGGTTGAAAGAAGCTGATTTGCCATAATTGATTTGTTACAAGAAGCGAATCTATCCTTTTGTACTTTATATGGCGTGTGGGGGTATGATTTTCAAAAAAAAAAATCAAATTTTAGAAAAAAAATTTTATTTAATTTTATTAATTTTTCTTTTGTATGTTAATACTGCTCCATAAACCTTAAAAGGCAGTCGGAACATTCAGGGCTTCGCATTGAGCAGTCTTGTTTTTTTTATTTTAGTACTTCACATTTTTTTGTTCTGAACATTTCTTCACGATAGTCATGCTTTTTGTAGGTGCAAATAAAGCGAAATTTGATGCATTTTTTGCGCACTTTGATTCAGTTTTATAAAGTGTACAAAATCTTGAAGTTTTGTGGTCAAGTTTTTGCGATTTCAAATCATATTCAATAACTTGATACCAGGCTTCACAGTCAACGAGCAGTTTCTTCTGTAGTCATTATCGGCTGATATAATTTGGGCAAACAACATAATACCTACATCCCTAACTTAGTTGTAACAGTCTCAAATCAGTTGGGATGATTGGTTCCCAGGT